AGAGAAGCGTCTATCCCGGTTGACATTAGCTTACGAACTGAAGCTTGGCAGCCGGCGCGGTAGGTCCGGGGCTCCCCCCTCCCCCTCTCGGGGCGGGGAGGGCTGCGCGGACGATCGGCGCGGCAGTAAAGTGTGATGTTTGCTTGTTTCCTTGGGATTGTAGGGAGTTTCTACCTCTCTGTTCGGTTTTTTGTTTTAGTTTTTTACCATGTGGGGTTTGTTTTGTTATGCCTACCTTTCTGGGTGCCTGACCCCGGTCGATGGCAGATAAGGAAAACCCCAACCACAAGGGGGTTTTCCAGTGCCATTGCTCCCTGAAACCTCTCTGAAGGGGCCAGGTTCTGGCGCTGGTCCCTGGTAGGTCTGAACTCCTTAGCTAATGTCCCGGTCTAATATAACATACATTAGCCCGATAAGCTCCAGGGAGCCGTAGGGGCTCCCCACAGAAAAGCTATGAAATATTTAACTTTGTAAAATGACCATGATGAAATACAGTACTATATACTGTAGTTTCATCCATACACTATAACCAAACACAGTACAGTACATATATCCTGTCAAGTGCTGCATTATATATATATATGACATATAAGAATTAATCTGACATAAGAAAAAATCTTCATAATCTGACCTTTTTTGTAACTACTGCAGTTACGTAAATCGCTATCTCTAACTTAAAAACCTGCCAAAATTACTTTATAATTACTTCACAGTAGTTAAATTAGTATATACAGATAAAAATATAATTTATTACTTACCAAATCAATAAACTTTATTGTAAATATTGTATCATCATCAGATGCAAAAGGGAAAAGAATGTCATCCCAAATAATTTCTAAATTACCTCTGCTTTCAACTTTTAAATTCAGCCACACTAGAACAACTTACAGTATAGTCAAATTTTTAACCATGGAGTTCACTGCCTTGATGGCCTACTATACAGAAAATATTTAAAATTATGCACAAGTATAACCAAGCTTTCCTTTTTTTCTTTTTTTTTCTTTTTTTTTTGCAGCAATATTCCTACATGGGCCCAAAGTCTCTGGCTGGCCAACTAAGTGTTATTTGCTGCTCGTTTCATTCTTACTTAGGCAGTGCATGAGTGAACAAATCAACAAGGGGCGTGACGAGGATTCAAACCTGCGTCCGAGAGCATCCCAGAAGCTGCCTTAATCGACTGAGCTACGACATGGTCAAAAGGAGTTGAAACCGAAGTTCTACTGAACTTACTGGATCCTGCAGCCTCTCCGAGGCACAAACCAGGGTTTTACACAACTCCCCCCATGCACTCGAGCTATGTCAATAGGCTGTTCTCCCTCTTTGCCCTTACTTCATTACACACAGAAATCACAATTGCGTGATGAATCAAATGAACAAATCAACAAGGGCCGTGACAAGGATTCGAACCTGCGTCCGAGAGCATCCCAGACGCTGCCTTATTCGACTGAGCTTGCAGGCGATGAGTCACAATAATGTGGCTAAAGTATAAGTATGTTGACCAGACCACAAACTAGAAGGTAAAGGGACGACGACGTTTCGGTCCGTCCAGGACCATTCTCAAGTCGATTGTGATGAAGAAGTAGAGGCAGGCAATAAATAGGCAAGAGAGAGCTGAGGAACGAAGTAAGGTGTAGTAGAGGGGATAGTAATAATAATAAGAGCTGCAGAGGGCCTATTGGCCCATGCGAGGCAGCTCCTATTATAACCACTGAATGAGAAGGAGATAGGAATAAGAAGAGGATAGCAAGGGAGCATAGGAGAAGACAATGAACAGAAAAAGGGAGAGGAGAGAAAGAAAAGGAAAGAGAAAGAAAGATAAATGGAAGGGGTAGGCTTATGTTAGGTCACGTTTGTTAGAAAGATTAGAGCATTTGAGTATATACTGTGAAAGGGAAGAGTCCACAGCAACAAAGCCAGGACTCAAGTTCATGTTGGGTACATTGTGTATAAGAGCCGATTCAACAAGACGGCGTCTGTGTAGAGTAGAGGCAGGAAAGATTATTTTGGAGGAAGACCAATCAATGGGATGATTAGAATCCCTCACATGGCAGAAGAGAGCATTGTTAGTGTCTGCAGACTTAACACTTCTCTTGTGTTCTTTAAGTCTGTCATTCAGTGTACGGCCAGTTTCGCCAAAGTATTGGAGAGGACAAGACGAACAGGAAATAGAGTAGACACCAGCAGCATTAGAAGCAGGAGGAGCAGTGTGAACTAGGTTGCTACGAAGTGTATTAGTTTGTCGAAAGGCGAGTTTAATGTCAAGAGGACGAAAGGTATTGGTAAAAGTTTTGTGTTCAGATATGAAGGGAAGGCATAGTACAGTGCTACTAGTATTGGAAGCAGGTTTAGGATGAAAGAAATTTCGTTTAGCTTGAGAGTAGGCACAGTTGATGAAATGCAAAGGGTAACCAAGGCGAGAGAATGATTTGTAGATACAGTAAAGGCAATTTCAGAATCAAGAAACTGAGGGTCGCTGATGAGTAGAGCGCGGAGGAAGAGAGAGACGAGGACACTTTTCTTAACAGAAGAAGGATGGTAGGAAAAGAAGTGAATGTACATGCCACTATGCATGGGTTTACGGCAGACAGAGAAAGATAACCCAGACACAGAGCTGTGGACATGAACGTCAAGAAAAGGAAGGAGGGAATTAGATTCCCACTCAACTTTGAAATGGATAGAAGGAGCCAGATTGTTAAGAGAGGCGAGGAAAGGCTGGAAAAGATTAAGGTCATGAGGCCATAAAGCAAAAATGTCATCAACATAGTGAAGCCAAAGAGAGGAACGAGTATCAATAGAAGGAAGAAGAACAGTTTCGAAGTATTCCATATAGAAATTAGCAAGAACAGGGGAGAGAGGGGAACCCATAGCGACACCGAAAGTTTGAGTGTAATATTTACCGTTGAAAGAGAAAGAGTTAAGAGTCAACACAGAGTCTAATAAGATCGAGGAAACGTCAGTGGGAAGCGGGAGAGGAAGAAGGCCCTCTGGGGCCTTCTGTCAAAGGAAAGAGAGAACGTCATCGAGCGGAACATTAGTAAACAGAGAGTCGACATCAAGACTAAGCATCTTACAAGAGGGTTGCAGGCGCAGTCTTTCTATGAAGTCCTGAGAGTGACGAAGGTGGGCAGGGGAAAAAGTGCCAAGGTAAGGCGTCAGGGTTTTAGCGAGCCAGGAGGCAAGAGGATAGCTAACAGAGCCCCGTGAAGAAATGATAGGACGAAAAGGAACACAAGGTTTATGAGTCTTAGGAAAACCATAGAAATAAGGAAGAGAAGGGCAGATGACACGGAAACGTTTAATGAGATCAAAGTCAGGAGGACAAAGGACAAAGAGAGCTGTCTTAGTTTGCGGTTAAAGGAAGTTTTGAGGTGATCCAAAGGGTTAGAAGTCAGAGGAGCATAAGTGCGAGAGTCAGAGAGCAAGACATCTGCTTTTCAGAGGTAGTCCTCACGGTCAAGGACAACCACTGAATTGCCTTTGTCGGAAGGAAGGATAAGAATAGAGTTGTTAGATTTCAGGGAGGCAAGGGCAAGCTGAAAGCTACGAGGAAGATGGTGATTCTTAGAAAACAAGCTGTCAAGAACGGGGATAAGGGCCCCTCTAAAGGCAGACAGGTCCGAAAGAGTACTAGAGTTAGAATTGACAAACCTGTCAAAGGAACTAATGAGATCAATACCACAGCGTGGGCCAAGGGAAGTAGCAAAAGACAGACCAAGGCCAAGAAGTTCTTGCTGGTGCTTAGAAAGAGAGTAGGATGAAAGGTTGGTAACACAGTCAGAGAGAGAGAGTATTTGGCCCAAGGACTGTTGGAGATCAGGCGTTGAAGTTTGTTGTGTAGTGTGGAGGAGTGGTGGGAAGAGGAGACGTGAGCAGTGTCAAATGCAATTGGAAATAGGATATTGCATAGATCACTGGGAAGAGAAGAGGACAGAAAGCGTTGATGTTGACGAACAGCTAGAAAAACCTCGTCAACTTGCAAGGAGGTGGCGTAAATAAGTTCTTTATAACTCGTATGTTCACTTCAGTAAGATTATGTCCTGCGTGTTTAATAACTTCTGCTCTGTTGAATCTGAATCTTGGTTGAAATCTTACTTGGTTTGTAACTCTGCACTGTGTTCGATAATTTTCCAGGAGTCTGTTGGGCATTTCTCCACAGTGCTGACATTTCCCTCTCATCTTCTGGCACCTGTAAGCCTATTTTCCATGCACGTATGTTACCTTGCATTAATTCCAGGGGTAAAGGTTCCCTGTGGCCCAGTCTCCGACCAAGCCCCCTTCAGTATCTTTGGCTATCTCCTTGGGTATCTAAGCCTGATGCGATTCAAGTGCACTTCTGTGTTGCTATTGCTTACGCTCATGAAAATAAGTGGTTCATATGAACTTGGTTGCATTTTTGTACCAACCCGTAGAGCCTGATGTTGCAGCTGCTGTGATGTGTTCAATGCACATCCTCTGCATTGCTCTATCTCTATTGCTTAACCTGTGCTAGACACTGGTATGTATACATCTACATTTCTTCCCTGCGTTGCACGTGTTCTTGCAACAAGAACACATCACGTATGTGTTCTTGTTGCAAGGTTTCAATGGCCGTTCTCGAATCTGTCTGTATGATAACATGTTGTCGGTGTTCAACAAGAGCATGTACCAAAGCCTTTTGAATGGCTAGCATCTCTGTAAAGTTGAACATCTATTTGAGTCTCCAACTAATTACAGAATTTCCTGCCTTAACTACTGCCCCAAGCTGCAGTTAAGGCCAGCTGTAACCAAGTTGTAATACAATTAAAATAATGTGGTACTATAATCCAAATTAATAACTGTATTATATAAAATCAAAAACTGTTCACTACAGTTAAACCAGCGTGCAAAAGTATTCAGTTAACATTTACCAGAACAAGTGCCTATTTGACAAAAGACAGTGTAATGTCACAACAGTTATAGATTATAACCAATTAATAAACTTAAGACTGAGCTGTGAATAAAACATGTCCTTCACACATTACCTGAGTCTCCAACAACCAGGATCTTGACCTTGTTCATAGCATTGGCATGGTTGGCCATTGCACTTTTTGTTGTCTTGTTTTAAGTCTTGGAAGGCAATACAAATTCTTAAACCTCTGAAAATATAATTAATTAGTTAATATTTATTTTCTCAACTTAATTTCTTTTAGCAACATATTGATATATAATGTATTGTTTTGCTTCTTGTTTTGAATTTACCATCCAAATGCTTCATTTCTGGATGATTTGAGATTACAATTTTCAAAATATTTTAGCTTTGTTGTGCATATGTTAAGACATACACAGTAGGTCTCTTTATACCTCTGTAGCAAGACATGAGACCAAGACTACTAATAATTTTACACAGGTGGGTACAGGAAGAGCCAGCTTCTGACCTCTGTTAGCATGCCAAGAGCTTTCCCTTCCCATAGCTCATGGCATGCCTGACCCACTAGTTTTTTCTGGAGCCCGATCCACCTATCAGTTAACAACTAGACCTAGATTCATGAAGCTCCATGTATTTCTTCATAAGTATGTGTGCTACGAAGGTTCCTAAGTACCAGCGAACAACGCACCAAAGTGCAATTCAGAAAAGTATACTTACGAAGATTTTTAAGTAGTTCACTTAGGTCTCGCTAGATATCACTAGGGCTTTTAGTTTGGCCAATCAGAGAGAAGGTAACATTTTTTATCTTACAGCTGTAGCTAATCACGACGCTGGTATATCGGAGCTTATCCGTGATCACTTGCCACTTATTTGCATAAAATTTTCTTATAAAATTAGTATATTACGAAGTAAAACTATGTTTTTTCTACTTCTACAGTCAGCACCGACATTGTAGTAAACAAATATGTTACATTTTTTGTTTACCAACGTAATTCTAGGAGATAATGTGTAGCTTTCCTTGTCGCTCCTAAGATTGGAGAAGTGATGGCATTTATTTATGTATATATTTACCTAAATTTACCCAAGGGCCACTAACTATCTAGTGGCCTCAACAAGGACAAAAAGCCGGGGCTTTTTAAGTCCCGCCAATTGTCCTAATGATATTTTCTAGCTCGATTTTGGCATTTACGCCATCAGCAGGTAAGCGGTTCCATGGGTTTATAACCCTCCGGGTGAAAAAACTTCTGTTTTCAGTCCTACTTGAGAGGACACTCTCCAACACTATATCTGTGATTGCCCTGTTATCAGTGACTTCATACTAAATGGTATGAGGTACTTTGAGCTCTGTAATTACTTCATACACTCAGGAATATTGGGAGATATTCTTGTGCTGTACCCAGATTTTGCTAGTATAGGCTAATAGATCAGTCTTACATTTCTTGTTCCCTCCTGATTCCATGTATGACTGGCCGTCCTGTGAGATGGGGATGTTGGATGAGCTTGTAGCTGGTTTTTTATCTACACTGTGTGGTCCTTCATACAGAATAGGGAAGCAGCACATTGCTGTGCATACCTAAGCTTATTAAAAAATACATTGTTAGAGAGGAGTCTTGTAGAAACTAGTAAGAGAAATTATAATATAATGTTACATGATTCACTGTTTACCTCGTGAAAATCTTGAAGTTGTTGTTTAGTCAGAGTTGATATGTTTTTTGTATTGAGACTGGTATTTTCTCCCCTGATTCCATGTAAGACTAACCATCCTGTGAGATGGGAGTACAGTATTAGATGAACTTACAGCTAGTGTTTTATCTACACTGTAATCTCTCATATAGCACAGGATAGCAGTGCACTGCTGTGTATACTTAACCCTTTAAGTATGCTACACATCATATGATGGGTTGCCTGACTTGCAGTAACTTGCGCTTCCCATTATATGATGTATTGGAGTACCGTGCAAGATTTGAAAGGTCCGCGGGGTAGAGGGGGCCCCCATATGCTGCCCAGGGACTATAGTAAACAGCCGCCATTTTGTAAAAAAATCCAGCTCACGCTACCATCGCGTGGGAGGCCTCAGTTACCCAGCAGCCACCACATCGAGGGCACGGCCGAACGCTTCCCGGGCGCGCACCACGCAATCACTCACCCAAGAGCAAATAACTAGTGAATTATTTTCTGATGGTGAGGAAAGTGATTTTGATGACTCTGACATTGATAAAGACTACACACAATTGACCGATGATAGTAGCACGGACAGTGAAAATGAGATACAGCTCCTCCCATGGCGAGGTCTATACGCTCACCCATGCCACCTCGCCCTGTGTCTACTCCAAATCACTCACGACCACACAGTTTCTGTGCTTATTTAGAGTCTGAGGATATTTTTGGTGACGAGTCAGAGGAAGGCAACTCTTTCTGGTTTTAGTGAAGTGGAATCAGAACATAGTGTTACCGAGCCTGGTGCCAGTACCAGTGGTGTTACTGGGCAAGAATTTGTCATGTCAGCAGTGTCTCGCCCAGCCAAGCGCCACCACATGGAACAACATGAGGCACCTAGAGCCACATGTTCACGTGCTTCCACCTCACGTGCACGTAGCGGCCGTACTGTGTGTAGACGGGCTTCAGCTCCTGGTCCACGGTGTGCATCGCTTCCTCGCCGTCGTGCCCCTGTTGCGTCTTGCAGGACACCAGGTGTACTAGTGTGGAGTGTTGGTGCTGGTTTTATTCCTCGAATTCCTGCCTTTGATAATAAAGACGTGGGGATTACAGAGCTTTTCCCTGATAATGGAGAGGACATGTGTGAATTGGATTATTTTACAGCATTCTATGATGAGCTGCTCATGGAATATATTGTACACCAAACGAACCTTCATGCGGCTTATCTCATTCGAAAAGAGATAACAGAATTTTCACGATTGCAACGTTGGAAAACCACCACTGTAGGTGAAATGTATTACTGAAGATTACTGAAGCAAAGATCTGACTATTCCAACACCTTTCTTCGGGAAATATATGTCCCGAGACAGGTTTCAGATACTCCTCAGGTGTCTGCATTTTGCAAGTAATGAGGACCGGACAGAGGATGATAGACTTTGGCGAGTGAGGCACTATATGAATAAAGTGATTGGAAAGTTCAGAGATTTTTACATACCAGCACAGAAGCTGGTGATTGACAAATCCCTGGTGCTTTTCAAAGGACGTGTTTCATTCAAGCAGTATATTATATAGTATATATGGTAGGAGAAAACAATATCAAAATGTTCAGTGAGGATCCACAAAGTCTTCTCTGAGTACTCTTTATTTTCTTCTATATCTATATATATATATATATATATATATATATATATATATATATATATATATATATATATATATATATATATATATATATATATTATATATATATATATATATATATATATTTATTAGTATATTTTGGTAGCAGTCTTTCCTGTAGAAATATATTATTAAATATGACCGAAAAAGTAAGATTAATAATTCTAACACGAATTTTCTCTGTTTCTTATATTTCTTTTCACTGTTACCATCAGCAGTGAAAAGAAATATAAGAAACAGAGAAAATTCGTGTTAGAATTATTAATCTTACTTTTTCGGTCATATTTAATAATATTATATATATATATATATATATACACAGTGGCACCTCGACATACGATTGCCCCTACTTACGATAATTTCAAGTTACGATATAAATTTCATCGAAAAATGCGACTTGACATCTGATGGTGTCGTCGACATCCGATATTTGTTGGTACATGTTCGGGTCGGCTGAGCGCGTGGTTCCCAGTCAAGCGGTCCGACCTGCCTCAGTTTACTACAGCTACCCGCTTAGTGACGATCGCACCTATAAGAAATTCCGCTTTTGTGGTGATTTTTTGCATTTTGAACATTAAAGTAATTATTATATAATATGCCATGAGTCCCAGGAAAGTCAGTGGTAAGGCTCAACATATGAGATCCCATGTGAGAATGACCATAGAGCAGAAACAAGAGATCATTCGTAAATATGAAGATGGTGTGCTGGTAGGTGAACTGGCTAGGCAGTATAACAAATCTCAGTCAACGATATCCACCATACTGGCTAAGAAAAAGGACATTATGGGTGCTAAAGTGATGCAACATTACAGACAAATGTTAAAACGAATGGAAAAACAAATGTCTCTTGACATTTGTAGTGAGACAAACAAGCACTGAACCACAACCAGGTCCTAGTGGTATTCAGGCAAAACTTAAGAGAGAGAGTATCCCAGAGAAAACATCACTGCCTGATGTGATAATGGAAGGGGACTCCCTTTCCAAACAGTAACAACTCTCCTCCTCCCCCCTTATCACCATCTTTCATACGCCATCAAGAGCCCTCCATAAAGGTAAAAGTAACTTTGGTACTGTATTGTAGTTAGAAAAAAACATTGTATTCAGTATAAAATGTATTTTTATGTTAATATTTTGGAGGGTGGGGAACGGATTAATTCAAATCCCTTTATTTCTAATGGGAAAAATCGCTTCGACTTCCGATATTTCGACTTACGATCCGTCTCTGGGAACGGATTAGCATCGTAAGTCGAGGCCCATTGTATGTATGTATGTATGTATATGTATATGTATATGTGTGTGTGTGTATATATATATATATATATATATATATGTCGTACCTAGTAGCCAGAATGCACTTCTCAGCCTACTATACAAGGCCCGATTTGCCTAATAAGCCAAGTTTTCATGAATTAATTGTTTTTCGACTACCTAACCTACCTAACCTAACCTAACCTAACTTTTTCAGCTACCTAACCTAACTTTTTCAGCTACCTAACCTAACCTAACCTATAAAGATAGGTTAGGTTAGGTTAGGTAGGGTTGGTTAGGTTCGGTCATATATCTACGTTAATTTTAACTCTAACTTTAACTTTATATATAAATATATATATATATATATATATATATATATATGTCGTACCTAGTAGCCAGAATGCACTTCTCAGCCTACTATGCAAGGCCCAATTTGCCTAATAAGCCAAGTTTTTCTGAATTAATATATTTTCTCTAATTTTTTTCTTATGAAATGATAAAGCTACCCATTTGATTATGTATGAGGTAAAAAAATTGTTATTGGAGTTAAAATTAACGTAGATATATGACCGAACCTAACCAACCCTACCTAACCTAACCTAACCTATCTTTATAGGTTAGGTTAGGTTAGGTAGCCGAAAA